ACCTCTCATCCCTGCTAAATGTTAATCTTCTTCTCCTGCTCTTCGTCCCTACTGTGTTCTTAGTTATTCTCCTTATATCAAAGAAGACATTTGACATTTGTTTTTTAGGGATTGGCTAGCTTCACTTAGCATAATCTGCTCTAATGCCATCCATTTCCCTGTAAATTCTATGATTTTGTCATTTTTTAATGCAGAGTAATACTCCATTGTGTATAAATGCCACATTTTTTTTATCCATTCGTCTATTGAAGGGCATCTAGGTTGGTTCCACAGTCTTGCTATTGTGAACTGTTCTGCTATGAACATCGATGTAGCAGTGTCCCTGTAGCATGCTCTTTTTAGGTCTTTAGGGAATAGACCAAGAAGGGGAATAGCTGGGTCAAATGGTGGCTCCATTCCCAGCTTTCCAAGAAATCTCCATACTGCTTTCCAAATTGGCTGCACCAATCTGCAGTCCCACCAGCAATGTACAAGTGTACCCTTTTCCCCACATCCTCACCAGCACTTGTTGTTGTTTGACTTCCTAATGGCAAAAACAGCATGGTACTGGTACCAAAACAGGCGGGTGGACCAATGGTACAGAATAGAGGACACAGAAACCAATCCACAAATCTACAACTATCTTATATTTGATAAAGGGGCTAAAAGCATGCAATGGAGGAAGGATAGCATCTTCAACAAATGGTGCTGGGAAAACTGGAAATCCATATGCAACAAAATGAAACTGAACCCCTTTCTCTCGCCATGCACAAAAGTGAATTCAAAATGGATCAAGGAGCTTGATATCAAATCAGAGACGTGCCGTCTGATAGAAGAAAAAGTTGGCTACGATCTACATTCGGTGGGGCCGGGCTCCAAATTCCTCAATAGGACACCCATAGCACAAAACTTAATAACTAGAATCAACAAATGGGACTTACTCAAACTAAAAAGTTTTTTTCTCAGCAAGAAACAATAAGAGAGGTAAATAGGGAGCCTACACCCTGGGAACAAATCTTTACTCCTCACACTTCAGATAGAGCCCTAATATCCAGAGTATACAAAGAACTCAAAAAATTAGACAATAAGAAAACAAACAACCCAATCAACAAATGGGCCAAGGACCTGAACAGACACTTCTCAGAGGAGGACATACAGTCAGTCAACAAGTACATGAAAAAATGCTCAACATCTCTAGCTGTCAGAGAAATGCAAATCAAAACCACCCTAAGATACCATCTCACTCCAGTAAGATTGGCAGCCATTAAAATTATATCTTTAGAGTCACAACAAAATGATTTCTAAAAAAATCTTTATCTCAGACATTTTTAAAATTAAATTTTCCGGAATTCTTATACCTGTTAGGTGAATTATGAGGCTCTATTTTCCTCCAAAATTTTATAAAAACTTATTGCATAGCTGCCAATAATTTCCAAATCTTGGGAGATGAACATAAAAATATGTGTCTGAACCCAGAGATTAAGTATAGTATGTGAAACAAGACCAAATTAAAATTTAATTTCAATTCTAATACCCACTTTATTGAATAATTACATTGAACACGTGTTGTACTTTATGCAGCTGTGTATTCTATGTCCTTCATCAGTTGTGATTATCTCTGTATTAAACCATACAAAGTATTATTGTGTATTCTTTATATTATTTAATTTCTATAAAACTAATACAGTATTTTTAGGAAATTACTCTTTTATGATTTGTATTTCCCCAGAGTTGTGAATTCAAAAATACTTACACAAACTACTTTATATATTCCCTCTTCATGCTTTTCTTTCTTTTCTTTGTTTTTTTTTTTTTTTGTTGTTGTTGTTTGCTTTTGTTTTTAATTTACTTTTTAATGGTGGGGACTGAACACAGATACTTTGGCATGCTAAGCAGTGGCTCTGCCACAAAGCTTTTTCTCTTATTCATTGGAAGGTTGGGTAAATCCAAGATTCAGGAAACTGACCCCAAGCACTAAAATGAGTCCCTTAACATACAAAAATGAGAAATTCAAATATTACATGGTAAACTAAAAGAACTTAAACAGTTGGTGTGTTTTATTTTACATGTCATTTGAAACCTTGTGTAAGAGTACAGAGCTCTTATTCCAGAGACCCAGCTTTTTCCTTTATTACTTAATGAAACTTCATTCTACACTGGTCCCAGGAAGTGATATATCCTCTATTTTTCATGGAACATTTTTTTCATTCTGGCCTGCTTCCCTCTATTTGGCACTCCTGCCATCTTCTTATTCATTTCTGCTCATGCATATGCTCTCCACACTCATCCTGTCTTTAGCATTTGGAGCCATCTAGCTACAATGCAAATGTGACTATGAACCTCTTTAGAAGATAAAAGGCCAGCTTTTAAAATTACCCAGAAATCTTTCATGAGTTCAGCCTAACACTTTATCCTTTCCCTTAATTTTACTGTCATCTGGATGGCTCCTCACCAATCCCTATATTTTCAGACAAATACTGACCCATTTAATGCTTCACTCTGTGTCTAGCTCCAGCATTTTAAGCTTTCCCCATTTTCTGCCTCTGACTGGTAACCTCATTCCTTTAGTCTCTGCTGAATCCTAGCTCTAGGAAAGCCACTATTCCTGGCACCTTTTTACTCTATTCTCATAGGGAACATAATAATTCTCGGTTCAAATAAACTGTTGATGCTAAGGTGATGTAAAAGAGGTCTTCTTGAGTTCAGGAGCCAAAGGGCTAGACAGGGGAAGGAGTAATTTACAAGTCAACTGGTAGATATCCAGTTGAACAGTGGCTGAAATGCTGAGATACCTCAAGGGGGTAAAAAACAGTTTATGACAAGGAGATTGGTAATCACGCAGGACTGAACAGACTAAGTCTTACAGAAGAACACATTTTTAGAGTAATCTAGAAAAACATTGCATATGCAAGATGTTCATTGATAACAGTAGAGAGAGTCTAAGTCACTGTGGAAATGACTACTGATGAATAGTTGTTTTTAAAAGTTAATGTTGTGGGGAAGAGAATAGCAAATTGTGTGTATCCCTACATTTCTATAATGTTTTTAAAATTTAATTCTGGCAAATTTTCATTCATCTTGAGTGGATATACCTTTGAGATATTCTTGTTTCTTAAACCTGGTGATACATAGTGTCTCCTCAGGTAGACTGTTGAAGTTTTATACCAGTAAAAACATTCCCTGAAAAAAAAAATTCTCTGCTGGGTACAGTGGATCACCTCCAAACACAGCTATTGGGAGATTGAGACAAGAGCATGGCAAGTCTCAGGCCAGAACAAACACTTTAGAGAGACCCAGTTTCCAAAAATAAACAAATATGCAACTCTGGCAGAGCTCTTGCCAATGTTGCAATGTTGTATGGTTAAATCACTGAGTACACACAAGTATACCCCACCAATAAACAGTTAAAGAGGTAATATCACCTAAAATTCAAGCTTATTATTACTTTTTTTTTATTTTTGGCAGACTATCATTCTCTCTTAATGTTCTAAGTAGTTTACATAAATCTACATACATTTTTCAGCTGAACCACTTTGGTTTTCATCATCTGAAGAAGAGAAGGAAGGTCTTGATGACACCAAAAATAAGCAGCCACAGGTGAGTTCACTCATATATATTTTTAAAAACTTCTGATTTCTTACTGTATTCCTTATTTTAAGAAAGTCAATATGGGCAAATTTGATTACCTTTCATAACAGTGGTTTGGAATCTAAAGATGATAATTTAATATTCAAACCTAATAGAATTTAACTGGTTATGAATCTGAAAATAGCATTAAAATTCAGGAAAACATATAGATAAATATTATCCTTGTGATTCGGGCAGAATTTTTTCTGAATATTATTTGGGTTTCCATTTTTTTAACCCCTGAAAATGATGAAGAAGTTAAAATTAGTGGTTTTGCAAATCACCATTTTAATTAATGAACATATATATTGGTGATGGTCATTGAGTACATTTATGGTAAAGGATGGTCCTTCCCAGTGGCTCAGTTTTAGTTACATATAAACATGGAAAATCACACCCATCTCAGGTGCTTTGTGGGTATCATAGGCAGAGTGAGTAAAAAGACACACATACATGCAGATCCTAATCAGACAGCAATTTCAGACCAGTTTTTCTCATACACTCAAATGTGCATAGCTCACACACCCAGCCCATGGATGGCTGGTGAAATCCTTGAATTCATTTACTATTCTAAAAGCCAAAATTCTAGGCTTCATTTGGTCTGAGGCTCTCTACAGTGACTCTCCAGGTTTTCTTTTTTGCCATAGCTGCTCTTTTTTTTATCCAGAATGCACACAGGAGCCAATATGACTCAAGCTCTGAAAAATGGTCAGGAAGTGCTGTACATTTTTGTGCTGTCATTTTTCTTCATTGGTGTACTTTTTAGTTCTCTCTCAGAGGAACATGTTGTTTACTCTACCCAGATCCTGTGTGTTGCTTTCTAACAGTACAATAGAAACATTTCTTCACCCTACTTTGTCATTTTATTAAACTGGATTTTCTCTCAGTGAAACACTTACTATAAGGGTCTTAGATCCTGTGAGAGTGTGATGACCAAAATGAGGCAAGTCCAACAAAGTCTTATTCCTGCTCAACATCACATAATTCCAAATCTCTTATCACACTGAGTCTCATAAGTCTGTTATTTAAAACACGTAATGCAACATAATATTAATTATATTCCTCAAGAATGTTTAATTAAGTATTTAATGCATTCTCATCTTGTGGGGTTGTGATATATGGTTGTTTACACTCTTAGAATACATGCATTTATATTATTAAATTTTCAGGGAATACCTTTTCTATGATATCCATCCTGCTTTTACCAAATCAGGAGCCATTGGAAGACAAGAGTTCAGCTTCATCTGAAGCACAAATTCTAGGTTGCCCTGTGGAAAATATGACTGTACTTATCTACATTTTAGTTAGCTGCTTTCAAGACCAAAATTTGGGTGATGTCTAAAAGAGTGATAGTGAAGTTTTCATGCAGCTCATTGGGGTCCTTTATTTTGCAGGTATTTTCTGAGGGTGGTCCACAGATGTGCATTTCTCACTCATCTGGAGAGAAACATTATATACCAAAAGAGAAAGCAGATGGACATGTCCATGGTAAGAACTACATACTCTACACAGTTCTTTGGACAGAATATTGATTTCTAACATTAGTGCTGATTTATTCTATTACTTGGAAAAATGAACCTAGTAAACAGATAATAATGAAAAAGTGAGAAAGATAATGAGTTGTCTCTCTTAAGACCAAGTCCAGCAGCAGGTTATGGTGGGAGTGTCCCTCATAGTTTCTATACAAGACATGCATAGATCATAGGGGAGTTGGAAATTGTGAAGTAGAGAGGATAATGGTGAATACACATTGGGAAAGGCAGAGAGAGTGAGTGCAGCAAGTAAATGAAGGAAAAAGAAGCCATGAAGGCAGATAAATTTCAGTCATTTACCAGAATAAAAAGACCACCTGTTCAAAATGTGGAAAGAAAATGGGAGTTTCCAGTTGTGCAAATGACTCAAGGTGTGAATATTTTTTCTCACCACTCATTTCTGAGTTGTCATTAGAAAGGAATTGACATGTGAAGAACTGATCATGAAGAAAGGAAGTTTTTTTTTTTTTTTTTTTTTTTTTACTTTTTAAGTGAAATGTTCATAAATCCATGTATCTGGTCATAAATTTATATAAAACAATATTGTAATTAAAACAAATAAAAAATAAAAATACCTATATCATAGACATTCTTGCCACTACCTGGGATGAAGCACAGATGGCAGACACAGCAGTATGGGAAGTGGAAAAATGTGCAAATTGTTATGGACTGATACCTAAATTCATAGGTTTTTAAAATATTCTTTGGACAATTTGGAAAGGAGAAGGAAGAATAGACATTGAGAAAAGCAGAGAGAATACAGTGAATAAATGAAGGAGAAAGGACTTCTTCTCATCCTTCAGGTTTGGGAACATCATTGGGTGGAAACCTGGCTCTATTATTGTAAGGCATTTGAAGGCAGGGAAATGAGAAGCAGACTAAGTGCAGACCCAGACTCTCAGACTCTGATAGATCATCTGTGGGGAACCCTATTCAAAATGCATGCTTTGACTTACCTGGCCTGCACATCTTTGTTTTCTTCCATGTAAGGTGATTCCAATGATCACTATCTGCTGGCCACCATGTAAAGACATCAGTAAAGAATTTCCTTTTAGCAAAACTAAATGCAGAGCCACTGGAACATCAAATGTAATAAAGTTATTGCATGCATCTTGTTTTTATTCTGATCTTGTCTCTTGGCAAGTGATAAGAACTCAATGTATAGAATTTATATTTCTTAGGTCTAATCCTTAAATTGGGAATTAAGAAAGAGTGGTGGACTGGGGTTGTAGCTCTGTGGTAGAGTGCTTGCCTTGCATGTGTGAGGAAATGGGTTCTATCCTGAGCAACACATGTAAATAAATAAATAAATAAAATGAAGACATTGTGTCCATCTACAACTAAGAAAAGAAAAAGAAAGAGTGGGGATAATTCATAGACAAAACGGAAAATATAAAGAATCAAGACCAGAGATCAAGATGTTGCTTTTGAAAAGTTCCTGGGAAGGAGAAATGTGGAAGAAACAAAATAAGTTAGCTGGGTAATCTTGTAGGGAATGATGGGGAAACTGAGAGCATGCAATTCAGGGGCTATCAGTATATCTATCTTTTACAATATGTGAGAGATTGTAACTTGTCCATCATTTGAATCATGAGGGGCTTGTAAGTTGGGGAAAGATTCCAGCCATGACCATCTTTTCTCCATACCTATCAGACATACTGCTTCCTGTGGTTTAAATTGAGTCATTCTGAGGAGCAAATCTACATTTCAGAATCATTCGTGGTTTTTAATGACAGCTCTGCTCTTTCTCCTCTTTCCTCTCTTCCTTCCTTCCTTCCTTCCTTCCTTCCTTCCTTTCTACTCCCTTCCCTCCATCCCTGTCTTTTTTCCTTACATAATTACTTTCTGTATTTCTTTCCTATTTGCCTGAAAATAAAATTTTGACCATGGGCATTCTAGAAATTCACTTCATTACTGAGCTACATCCTCATCCTTCAAAAGCTAATTATAATTTTTTGATAGGCCTGGCCTTTTTTGAATACACTTAAAACACTGGCAAGTCACACCAAACCAAACTCATTTGTAAACAGAAATCTTTATACAGTTAACTCTTTGAATACCCAAAATCTTTGTCATATATGCATGTGTGTGTATAATAATATATTATTGTTATCAGATAAAGCTGTGCTCTTCCATTTCAACTTTCCCTTTAAATTTTTATGTCTCAAAAGTTTAAACCAATCAAACCTTATTTCTTAGATGTGGAAACTATCTGTTCTCAAACAAGGGGATCATGAAAATCTAATCCATTTAAACCAGAGAATACAGGAATAGAGGATGCACAAGAGGAACCAGCATCCCACCTGAATATAAGAAACAAACAATAGGTGTCACAGCTTTCAGTGTCAAAGTATGTATTTCAAGTGACTCCTTCAGATATCTTTGTTGAGAAATGAACCTAACATTTCCCTGGGATCTGAACACAGCTTTGGCCTTACTAAACAAAAATGAAAGGACAAATGCAGTAAATATATACATACTTAAAATTATAAAGATTAAATCTTTTCAATATTATTTCCGTAAGATAGGTTCTATGGCTTGTTTTTGTTTTGACTTCACCTTTGCCATTGAATCTCTTAGGGACCTTCTTTGCTTCTTCACTAGAGGATTGTTGGATTCTCCATCAATCTGTATCTTGGCATTGGTATATGTTCCCTTGTCTGTTTTATTTATGGTCATTGGACAAATAATCTCAGGTTTGTGAAATGAACAGCATGTTTCACAAAACCTATTCACAAAATTCCTTTGGCAGATTTTAGTCACATGATTGTTGTCAGCCAAACCAGCCAGCACAGAAAGCCAGGAGATAGCATAATTTTTAGCACAGCTGAACCATGGACCTCAGCTGTATGTGGAGGTATCTGTAATGTATGAGTTGTTTTGTCTTCTTCACATTTGCTTGATTATATACCCCTTTTGTTTTTCAGCCTCTAGGGATTCATCTGATTTCAGAAAGGTAATTAAATTTCTATATTTATCCTAAATTATTAACTTTGTAGTCAATGAAAAATACACTCTTTATTTACTATCTTCTTTCTAAGCACACCGATCCCATCACAATAAAAGAGGCCCTTCTATGGAAAGGATTAGGCAAAGTGAAAGAAAAGACAGTCAAATTGGGTAAGTTTTGCATTACAACACTCCAGGGAACACAATGTTAAAACACTTGAAATGCTACCAGTGTTCTCACATGTAAGGTGGTTTTCCCAAAGAGGTGGGAGGATTTTCCTCACAATGTCATCAGTAGTAACAGAAAATGATCTCTCCTCTGTGTTTCTGGGAATATCCCCTCAATTCTGAATTGTTTCCTTTCCATATCATACTGTTACATTCTCTCTATTTCCAGCCTTTGGAGTGAACTAGCTACCATGCAAATGTCACCATAAGCATCTCTTTAGAATGTGAAAGGTCAACCTTCTGAAATTTCTTAGAAATATTTCCTGACATGAGCCAAGCCTCATTCCATATCTTTATACCTTTCCTCTGCCTCAACTGTCCTCTGGGATTAGTCCTCACCTATCCCTTTATTCTGAGACAAATCCTGACCTATTTCATACTTTTCTCTGTGTGGGCCTACAGCATTTCATGCTCTCACCATCTCCTGCTCTCTGGCTACTCACCTCTCACCTGTCTTTTTGAGGGGTGAGTAGCCAGAACAAACACCATCCCTAGGGGCACATTTTCTGTGCCTTCTTAGGTCATTTTCTCTGACACTTCAGCTGGTCACATTAGCTTCCAGACACATAGGTTCCCCTTTGCCTTCTCACCGGAATCACACGGGAATAGTCTAGCCTGCACCAGTTTTTTCTACCTTCCATCAGGCACAGCATGGGTCCCTTGATAGGCACTTCCAGGATCCTCGTGTGTGTGTGTGTGTGTGTGTGTGTGTGGGTGTGTGTGTTGTTTAGAGGAACTGAATCAAAGAAACCACTGTTGCACTCTTTCCGAGGATGGCTACCGCTTCAGCACTGTCATCACCCGCTGAGAGAAGAGCATGCTTTTTAAGCACCAGTGCATAGTGCACCTTTTGGTCAGATCAGTTTAAGCAATATTTTTGATCTCAGGTTTCTCCTTAGCAGGGCACATCATGGTACAACTTAGAATGCAACTTCCTCTTCTCTCTCCCCATTTGTCTGAGGCAGATCTGCACTGATATTTGCATGCAGGTTGTAGGCTTTTTTTTGTTTGTTTATGTTACACAGATTACTGAATCTCTGGACCTTTTCAGTGTTCAGAAATTTTAGGGATTTGAATAAAATCCCTCTTTCACTCATTTTGCTGAGAAGCTCTTCACCAACTCTTTGGTCTCCATGCAGTAGTGCAGCTTAGAATGCAGCTTATTCTATACCAACATTTTCCCAGAATCAGCCCTTCTTTCCATGTGGATTTTCAAGCTTGTTTCTGAGCAAATTTCATTGATCTTGAGTAGACAAATCTTGGCAATATGGTTTGCACTGAACCTTGTATCCTGTCATGTCTCTATAAGATGTGTGTTGAGGATTTAGATCAAGAAAAAATACTCCCTGAGAACTCAATGTTTGTTGGGTGCAAAAGGGCACATCTTTATTCACAACTACTTGGAAGTCCAAGCCTTGAAGGATGGCTGTATTCAGTCCACTCAGAGGACTCCAGTTGCCAATTAAAGTGGCCATGGGATAGAACTAAATGGTAGAGTACTTGACAAGAATGCATAAGTTTGTGGGTCCACTCCCAAGGTGTATACACAAAGAAAGAAAAAGAAAAAAGAAAAACTGTGGAAAGTTGAAACCAGTAATTATTCACCAAATATTAAACTTAATTGGAAATCATATTTGGGAATATTAAGTTGTTTTGGTGTTACAATTACCCTTTTCTATTTGGATTGATGTTCACTTTTTCTAATGCAGTTCTAAGGAATGTGAGTAAATGTATTTATTTATCAGCAGATACCCATTTTGACATGACTTCAGAGGAAGAGCACAAAAGTTTTGATGATGCTCAATGTACCCAGTCTCAGGTATGTGAACATATAAAGCATTTCTTCCTGTTTCCTCTTATTTTTCTTTCTTGAGGAAAGTAAAGGAGGCCAAATGAAAATACCTTTTAAATAGTCTTTTGGAATCCAGGCATTATATATTACTAATTACATCTAAAACCACTCTGAACTGGTTAGAATCTGAAAATAGTATTAGTAGTCCTGTCAACTTATAGCTAAATTTACTATGTAATGGAGGCAAAACAATTCTAAATGTTGCTTGTGCTTCCACTTGCATAAACATTTTGAAAAATAAAAAGTTGAGACTAAATTTGAGACTGACGAATAACCACCTGGGTTATGAATGGTAATGGTCACAGACTGCATTCATGTGAAAGGGTGATGTTGTCAAAGGCTCAAAATTCTAGTGAAAATCAGTAGTTATTTGCTACAAGTTGAAAAATATGTATGTATATTTTTTTAACTTTACATCCTGGTTAATGTTTATTTGTTATTTTTTGTTTATTTTTTATTGATTTAAAAAAAAGACAGCAGAATGCATTATAATTCTTATTACACATATATAGCACAATTTTTTATATCTCTGATTGTGTATAAAGTATGTTGACCCAAATTCTGTCTTCTTACGTGTATTAAACAATTTTTTCTGTGGTGACCTTTTCATTTTGTTTCTCATCCTTGCAGAAAATTCAGTCAATATGTTGAATAACTTTATCAAAATGTCTTAGTATATTAAAGAAATGTATTTGTGTGCATTAATGAGGGAATGATGGAATTTAGAGATGCTGTCTCATCTTTTTTCTCTCATTGCCAACATTCCTGGTGTGAGATTTAGCACACATCTAGATTTATTTTATTTGGCTGGCATATATAGGTTCTTGGGTTTACAGCTTTCCCTTTGGGGTGTATCCTGGGCAGGGGCCATATCTCAGTGTCAAATCCCCAACTGAACACCTAAGTCTCATATTTTCAAACAAAAACTTTGTTAGTTCATTGTTTAAAAAGTGGAATCCTATTTAATATGAAACATACTCCTGAAAATTCTTTAAAATAAGACTTGAAAGCCTTCTCACATTTGATGGTGAATGCAAAGTCAGATGAGTTACAATGAATATCATTCCTCCCGTCCTTTGGGGTGTATACACCTTTGTTAGCATGTTGTCAAGGAATGCCTTTTCTATGACATCCACCCTGCTTTTACCAAATCAGGAGCCATTGGAAGATAAGTGTGCAGCTTCATCTGGAGCACAATTCTAAGACACCCTATGGAAAGTATGACTGCTCAGTCTGTAGTTATCTACATGTTAGTTAGCTGATTTCAAGACCAAAATTTGGGTGATGTCGAAAAGAGTGATAGTGAAGTCTTCATGCAGCTGGTTGGGGTCCTTTATTTTGCAGGTATTTTCTGAGGATCATCCACAGATATGTGTTTCTCACTCATCTGGAGAGAAACATCATAAAGCAAAAGAGAAAGAAGATGGACATGTCCATGGTAAGAACAACATATTCTACACAGTTCTTTGGATAGAATATTGATTTATAACATGAGTGCTGATATATTCTAATACTGGGAGAAATGAACCTAGTAAACAGGGAATAAAGAAAAAGCAAGAAAGATAAAGAGTTGTTGTCGCTACCCCTTGCCCGCAAGGAAGACACAACTCAGGAATCTTCTTTCAGCAGTTTATTCAGGCCCTTAATATTTCTTCTTCTCTCTCTCGGATGCCCCTCCCAGCCTTAATAAAGCATCTCAAGCCCCAATGCGAAGCTGCCACGTGGAGCTTTCTCATAGGGTGGTGAAAAACCATGCGCCAACTCTCCCAAATAAGGAGTTGTTTGTCACAGACCACAGCGGAGCCAGCGCCATCTTGTAATGGCGACCATAGTCTGCAGAAACGGCAGAAGCGGCTCACCACAGTTCCCCCTTTCTGTTTTCTTAAAACAATACAGGCGAGAGTAGAGGTCCTATCCCACTGTGCAGAAGTGGCTGCATAGTATGGCTCAGTCCTAAGGAGGGCCCTTCCCCAGATCTGAGGCCATATAAGCCGACGCCTTTTTTCGTGGGGCGGGGTGTGGACGCGTCTAACCCGCATGCAATAGGACATGCTCTCCTTGAGGTCCACGTCAAGGATCACTCAAGTGCAGTGCCTTGCCTCGCATCCTGTATCGTGACGATGGTGGACGAAGGGGGATAGCTGAGGCTGAACTGTTGCTGTTTATAATGACAAACAAGTTGACAGCACCCTGAAAGAAAGGCACGGACTTTAAGATGATAGAAAAGTACTAGTGTGGAAACCCATCTGCGTGCAATGGTAACAAGACCTGCAGAGTGCAAGGGCTATTCAGCACTGTGAGAGAATAAGGAAGAGGACATGCCAATCCCAGTGCAATGTGAAACTCACTTGGGGTGCAATGGCCATGCCCAGAAATCACTGTTTAAGATGTGCAAGCCAGATTTGTGGAGAAATGCCATTTTCTAAGGCCGCAAGAGCCTGTACGATCATAGCCTTCTCTTGCGCATGGTGAGTTTTAAGGCAACAGAGAAGCCACAAACAAAGTACAACACTGAAGCAACACATTGCCCCAAAAATGCTCATTCCCACCCATTCCTTAAAAAAGGAAAAGGCAGAGGACAGCCAACTGGTGAATTGACCCAAAGTCACTGGTTCGACACGGGTACTATTCAGAACAGCAATTTGAGTTAGTTGAGACTGGATCAAGTCTTCTGCTTCGATGGACCAGGTTCCAGATAGATACTCTCCGATGATGCGGGAGGCATTTCTGGAATCATTAAATCTGACAGAGGTTATGCATAAATGTGCACGTTGGTCAATACAACCCAAATGTACTAGATCAGACAATGCCTCAACTTGAGCTTGAAGCAGATCTATCCTTTGATTAGCAGCTAGAATCCCAGATAAAATGTGTTGATTAATTCTGCTTTGAGATTCAAGTATGGTGGATGTTTGTTGAATAACCTGATTAATAGTGGCAGCAGTTTGAACTTGGCTGGCCATGGCCACTCCGGCCGTAACCGCTGCAGCAGCAGACACTGCCACAGCTGTCACTATAGCTGCCGTAATTCCAAAATCTCTGCGGACTCTAAGTAGCTCAACAATGGGGAATTTATCTGGGTCCGCAGTGACTGGGATTGGGACAAAAGTTGGAATTTTCATAACCACTGCTACAGTCCAAGAACCATTCCAACACTCAGATAAGAGACAGGTAACAATAGAACAATCCAGCATCCCCGACGAGGTGTCATTAGCCAAAAGGAGCAAGAACGGGGATTGGACACAGACCATTGCAGGGGGCAATGTGGCATTATATAGCAGAGAGTTGAACGAAACAGATGTACCTCGTTCACTCTCCTTAACAGTGCCAGAAACATTAGCCAGCCAGCTTTTGGCTCCCAGCAATTGAGCCAATGCAGAAATATCAGCTGAAGCCCCCTTCTCATTGGAAATCAGCCATTGAAACCAGGACCATTTTCCAAAGGGGTATCACCCCACCCTCTAATATGCCCTGCTCAGAAGCAAAGTCAAGATCTTTGCCTAATTTATCCCGACTAGGTACAGTAAGGCTGCCTGAAAATGCAAACCACGGTGCAGCAACATCTATCTTCTGTAAAAATCTCTGTAAAGTACTATGTTTCACTTCCAGGCCCTTGGAATGTAACAGGCCATCTAGGGCCAGGAGAAGCGGACTTGAAGATGCGGCACCCATGACACAACAACAAAAGAAGCACAAAAAACAAAAGCGAAATGACACAACAAAAGAAACACGGAAAACAAAAGCGAAAGTACACAGTGCAGCTGCAATAAAATGTAATGCTCTCTCTTTCTTTACAGAGGAGCTGCCCCGCTTTGATCGCGGATCCCACTTATTGGGACTAACCCCGCTTTGGTCGCGGATCCCACTTACCTGGGACTAACCGGTGCACCACCCCTGACTGCTGAAAGTTCTGGTTCCCGGGTTTTGGCACCACTTGTCGCGACCCCTTGCCCGCAAGGAAGACGCAACTCGGGAATCTTCTTTCAGCAGTTTATTCAGGCCCTTCTTCTCTCTCTCAGATGCCCCTCCCAGCCTTAATAAAGCATCTCAAGCCCCAATGCGAAGCTGCCACGTGGAGCTTTCTCATAGGGTGGTGAAAAACCATGCGCCAACTCTCCCAAATAAGGAGTTGTTTGTCACAGACCACAGCGGAGCCAGCACCATCTTGTAATGGCGACCGTAGTCTGCAGAAAGGGCAGAAGCGGCTCACCACAAGTTGTCTCTCTCAAGACCAAAGTCCAGCAGCAGGTTATAGTGGGAGTGTCTCTCTTAGTTTCTGTATAAGACAAGTATAGACCACAGGGGAATTGGAAATCTTGAATTTTTATGTTGGAAAGAATAATGTTCTTCACATTCTGCTTTCTGTTCATTTCTCAGTGTATTTTCGTTTTCCTCAGGGAATCTTTTCTATAGATCAGATTTATGTATTAGATCACAAACCTCTTTTCTAATATCATCTGTCTAAAATTATAATGATCTGTTTTTTTGTGTGTCTGTCTTCTCCATTAGACTTTAAGCTAAAGAACAATAGGGGTCTAATCTCATCTGCTATATCTTCAGAGTTCAGCATATTGTGTCACGTGTTTTATGCACTCATTGCTTTAGTGTATAAATAATGCGTGTGAAATATACAGCATTCATATATTTAAATTAGTCATATATTTTATTCCTATCTTCTTTTTTCTGACAGATTCTGTTAGCCTGTCGAAAACCCAGAAGGCAGTTCTATCACTTCAAAGAATAATAAAAAGCAAAAAAAGTCACTGCACACAGTGTTCACTACATGTTAAAAAAAATGCACAACTGGAAAATGAGATTCATGAGCTAAAAAAGAGGGTATCAGAGTTTAAGCAAGAAAATATAGAATTGAAACAACAACTCCACAATTTGAGGTATTATATCCTAGATTGAAAGAAGGAGTGGAATCTTTTCCTTTAATCCAGTAAAATAAGAAGGACAAAATTTTTGTAACTACTGCCTCATCTGTTAGCACTTTGCAAGGGAGAAAACTTGAATAAATTATAAAATTCTTACAAATATGATAGCATATTATTAAATGTGATTACTTCTAAAAATAAGTTCATATTTTTCCCTGTCACAATTTTAATGGCTCTATGGAAGCCCATCTGCTAGTAATCTATTTATTTAACAAAAATAATTTGGGATTGTTACTTGTTTATATTTTAAACTTTTTATTACAATTAATATTTCAAGAAATATCATTTATAAAAAAAATCATTTCCTACTCAGATACCATGGCATGTGCCTATAATTCCAGCAGCTTGGGAGACAAAGATAGGAAGATCAAAAGTTCAAAATAATCCTCATCAACATAGCAGCAATGTCCTAAGCAAATTAATGAGACCCTGTCTCCAAAAAAAAAAAAAAAAAAAATGAAAAAGACCCTTGGGATGTAGCTAAGGGATTTAGCTTCTGTGCGTTCAATCCCTGGTACCAAAGTTGGGGATGAGAATAAAAGAAAAAATAATAACTTTCTATATTTCTGTTTAATTTTGAAAAAAAAATCAATAAAGAGTTATTTGGTTAAAGTTGGGAAACTTTAAAAAAATTACAGGATTTTTAAATTTCTCTCAAGAAAGTTTGTATTCCACCAATGAGGCATTTTTCACTGCCCTGAAACATGTTATTATACATTTATAATTTTTAGGCTGATTTTGGGGATCAAACTCAGGGTTTTGTGTTACTAGTGTGATGTGCTAGTGCTGAACTAGACCCTTGGCTACACTTCTAACATTAACATTCATTAAAAAATGAAATGAAAACAGATTATTTTTTTATTCAAATTCATTCTCATTCATAAATTTGTTCATATTTCTATATTGAAAGGACATATACGTTTTATGTTTTTTAGGTATACATGACAGTAGACTATATGTTGACATAAATTTATTTTTATTATGTCTTATATTCCATTGTGTGTGCACACACATACACACACATCATATTTTTTTTTTGTATCCATTCATCTGTTGAAGAACATTACTCTTCATTATTGGATTAAATATTAGGTCCCATCTTGTTCAAAAATGGATTTTGAGTTTTTTGTAAAATACATAATGATCAAAAAGGTAAGTTGAGAGTGTTACCACAAAAGAAACATAAAAAGTATAATAACAGGTATTAGATTATTTATCCCAGTTCGGGGTTATAGTAATACAAAAGATACATATTTTTTATATATTTATTTTATTTATATGTGGTGCTAAGGATTGAACCTATCACCTTACCCTTGCTAGGCAAACACTCTACCACTGTTCTACAGCCCCAGCCCCAAAAGACACATATTGAAAAAAGAATGTCTGAATATGCTGTTACACTGTAAGCCAATTATAGGCATACCTGACATATTTTATGAAGATAAATGATATTACTACTGAATTCATAAGTTTGTATATAAACAATGTCTTTAAAACTTATTTGACATGAAATTATCTTTTTAACTGGGGAGGCTCTGATTGTGCAAAAAAAATTACCTTAAACTTGTCAATTTACCAAATCATTTCTAAATTCCTTTTCTGTGGTATCTAAAATATTTGCTAGTAACAAAAACTTATCAAATAACAAAGCAATCTTTTATTATTGACTTTCAATTATGTATGTTTTACACAAGATTAAAGGAGAAATTTAAAATGTTAAACTAGAAAAGCTTCAGAGAACATAGAATTTTTATTAAGATACTAAATCAGCATACAAAGAGCCAGAACATAAAAAGACATTTTTGGTTTTTGGCAAAAATCAGTTAAAAGGCATCCATATTAACTTCAGATATACCTTAAAAGAAGATGAGGTGAAGAGAGAAAATGATGATATGTTACATGAAAAAAAATAAAAACCCATTAAAAGAAAAAGAAGCAGAATACAACAAAGAGGATCAAGTGAGAAAGCAAGCTGAAATCTCTGTTTGTACAATAGATACAGAATTGGAGACTGAAAGAAATCATTTTAATCAGGTAAATAAACATTCAGTAAAGTTTCAAATTTTTACTATATTTCATTTGAATTATTGATAAAATCCCTTTAACTTATTGTATGTGGCCATGTTTCACTTAATTATGGCATTGTGGTCTGAGGAATGTGCTGTTTGGCAATTTCACCAACATACAGTCATCATGTGTGTGTACTTCCACACACTTCAGACATCTCCCAAAGTGCCAGGAAACACAGACTTATAGGACCTCCATTTATATGCAGTCTGCTGTTTCCCAAAGCATGGGTATGTGGGGTGTGAACTATTATTTTGATTTAAAACACAATGTTCATTATTTGGCAATTAAAAAAAATAAAAAAAAAGATCTGACAAACCAGAAAAAAAACACAATGTTATCTGACTCTAAAATGATAATATTTATGAAAAAACTAGTTACAGCAAAACTTAGCATCTGGTAGTTGTTCAGCATTTGTTTTCTGAATGAAGAAGTTTAGTTTAATCACTGACATAAATACAAATTTAGGTGTTTTATGTTAAAATACAAACTAAATAGCTATGCAGCTATTTAAAACATTTTTTTAAAAGTGTTTCACAATTGCATTTCTGTCTGATTTTAAGAAGTGTTTTCACTCACCCAAATTTATCTGTCATTTGTGCAATTGAAATGTAAGACATTTACTCATAAAGAATAAATCTACCTTTTGGAATTATTTTTTCAATCTTGAAGATCCCACTCTTAAATTAAGCTTTTAGACTTCTGTCACCTGCTGATATACAGCCAAAACGTTGCTGAAATAAATTTGTAGATTTTAGCAGAACAAAATGAAACCTACAGACAATTTCCATGAGAACATAATGCCAGAATTTACAATATGAAATTTCAGTAACACATCTTTGCAAACAAAAAGAGATAGAAATGTGCAGAAACGAAATGTTTCCTGAATTATTTTCTTCTGTTTTCAAATGAGTGAGTGAGTGAGTGAGTGTGTGTGTGTGTGTGTGTGTGTGTGTAACATAGTTAAACCGTAAATCTATTAATCATGGGAAAGTATAGAGGGTTTTAAATCCATATATTTATAACCACAATGTACATATTTTGGAGGTGAGGGGTGCAATTTTTGTCCCATTGAATTAAGTAATGTTCTTAATTCAACTGTATTTCTCTGCAGCAGTCCCATGACGACTTTCAGAGTAGCCTTATAAAGAGAAAAGACTTTTTTAATATTTTCCAGAGGAATAGGTGATTTTTCTATGATCTCAAAACCCTTGCTTCTAATAGTAGATCTTCTAGTTTGGGGAAGTCACTTTGCTCTCTTGTTATATTAATGTGCATTACTACTCCCATTGTTAAGTAAGGAGGAAAAATGGGACCAGCAAATACTCTGGTTTTGTAAATTATTTTCTCACTTTTGAGAAGAGAAACAAACACTTTGCTTCAAGTAATCTCCTACTTCAGTACAAAATTCCTTTGGAAAAAATGACGTACCATAATATGTTCTTAGAAATAAATTACTGGTAAGTATTTGTTCCTAATACATAAGATCTGTTTATTTCCTTTATTTTATATTGACTCATGTTTCAATCTTCACTGAGATGAAACAAATGCTACTGAGTATAAATCTCAGGATTTTCTGAGTAGAGCCTTACACATTTTGCCTTATTTGTCATTTGTATTTTGAAACACAGGCCTTCTTTGGTGTTTATCCATTCATAGGACAGAAGTAACTGGCTTTGTGGATGAGCACTAGAAGCAGAGGCAAAAAGACTTGGAGAAAAATCATGCAATTTGCCTATGTTTTTAGCCTTGTGCTCCTTTTCAGAATTGTGATACATTGTTCATTGATATAGATCATGTGTTTAATGCTGTTCCTACATTTATCATTTATCAATAGATGCAATTCTCATTCCCAGCTACAAAATGTTAGAAAACAGAATATGCTAGGAATATTTTTAGGAAAAGACCTTGGAGAACTTTTGTATGTCTCAGTAGATGTAGAGCTAAGGCTCTTACTATGGTCTGGTTGAATACATGAGGTGTCAGATTGCAAACTTATTCTTCTTAAAGTTAAATCTTCTTTTATTTGCCACTGAAGCCATCCCAACAGATAGGTACATAATAAAATATTTGGACTTTTTAACTGTTTAAAGGGTAGATCATATGATCCTAAAAGTGGATCAACATGAGAAATAGTGAATTGTAATTTTTATTTATTGTTTTTAGGTATACATTACAATAGAGTTCTTTTGGTGTATTACACATACATAGCATATAACTTCTTCTATGTAGAGTTTTTCTGGTCATGTACTCATATGTGAACATAGGAATGTAATGTCAGATTCATTCTACTATATTCCCCTCCTCTCTCAGCCCTTTATTCACTTTTGTCTAACCAACAAACTTCTATTCTTTTATCCTCCACCCTTATGTGTGTTAGTAACTATATGTTAAGGAGAATATTCAGACTTTGGATTTGGAGGACTGGATTATTTCACTTGGCATGACAGTGTCGAGTTCCATTCATTTGCCAGCAAATGCCATAATTTCATTCTTCATGGCTGAATCCATTGTGTACATATGACAGATTGTCTTTATCCTTCCATGTGTTGAAAGGCACCTAGGTTGGTTCCACAGCTTAACTTTTGTGAAGAGCTGCTATAAATATTTATGTGGCTGTGTCACTCTAGTATCATTGGAGTATACACTGAGGAGCAGAATAACTGGGTCAAATGGTCATTCCATTCCAGGTTTTGTGAGAAATCTATATACTGATTTTCTGAAAAATTGCTTGGTGCAATGTATGAGTGAATCTTTTCCCCACATTCTCACCAACATTTATTGTTACTTGCATTCTTTATATCTCAGTGTAGTTTTAGTTTTCATTTTTCTAATTGGTAAAGATGTTGAACATTTTTTTCATGTACTTGTTAACTGTTTGTACATATTTTTCTTTGAAGTGCCTGCTCAGTTTTTTGTTCATTTATTGATTGGGTTATTTTTTTGTTTGTGAGTTATTTTTTGAGTTGTTTATATATTCTGGAGATTAATGATCTATCTGACATATCAGTGACAAAGATTTTCTCCCATTCTATAGGCTGTCTACTCACATTCTTGATGGTTTCCTTTGCTGTAAAGATACCACCCCATTTATTGATTCTTTATTTTACTTCTTGTGTTTTAGTGTCTTTTTGAAGAATTCAGTTCCTACAATGACAAGATGGCATGCTGGGCCTGTCTAGTCTTGTAATAGGTCTAGGGTCTTTTATCTATTATCTAGGTCCTTGATCCACTTTGTTTTTGAGAAATAGGGGTTAAATTTCTCCTATGATATATGGGTTTTCAGTTTTCCCAGCACAATTGGTTGAGGAACCTATCCTTTCCCCAATGCATGTTTTATAGTGTGTTTGTCTAGTATTAGATAACTATATGTGTGGGGTTTTCTCTGTCGCTTCTCTTCTGTTCTGCAAAGTTATTTTTTTTTTTACATTGGCAAACTAACTAATCACTTAATCTATTCTTTCATTCTGGTATAATGCAGATTTTTTTCAATCCTTAATTTTTTTTTTCTTTTTTATAACCAGGAATTGAACCAGGGTGCTCAACCACTGAGATGCATCCTCAGCCTTTTATTTATTTATTTATTTATGAATGAGTCAGGGTCTCACTGAATTGCTGAAGACTGGCTTTGAACCTGTGATCCTCCTTCCTCAGTCTCCTGAGACACTGGTATTACAAGCATGAGCCCCTGAACCTGGAAGTTCTTACATTCTTTAAGTTGTAATTTTCTTTTACTCTTATAGGTCCATCTTCTTGAATTACTTTTGAACTCTTGGGAATTTGTATTTTTATAAGCTCAGAAGTTTACATCTAATTTTTCTTCAGTGGGTATCTATTTATTGAAACCCTTTCACCATATAAATATACAGGTTTTTCTTTAATTTCAGTGAAAATTATGAAACATCATTTTATCGAGTGCTAGCTAAATGTATCCTTGGTTTTATTTAGGTTTCTCCTAGTGATGGGACAGAGAACAAGCTATTGCATAACTATCACAAGAAGAAGGATGAGGTCTCTATGAAGAGACTGGGAATGGACACAGTAAAATATCAGAACCAGGAAAAGAAGTGCTTTGAGAATACTGAAATTTTAAGAGAAAAGAATACCAGCCTTCCATGGACACAAAAATTGAATGAGGAAACACATATGGAAATATTCCAGGACAATGAACAGTTGGGTATTTGGAAAGTTGAGAGTACATTGCAAAATTTCACACCTGAGAGTGAAAAACAAAGCACAGAAAGACCAGAAACAGATGTCAAATCTCACCCTGCCAGATCTGGTCCTGCTCCACCCCATCAAGGTGAAAGTCCAACACCAAAAAGAAATCTAGAACTTGCTTTCCAGAGAGGCAGAGATAAAGACTTTAGTTCACAGGAAAAAAAGAATATTGATGTATCTAACCTAAACATTAGTAGTGAGATTCCTTCCCAACAGGTTCCAAAGTCTGAAGTAAAAACAAGTGACCTAGAAAACGAGCTGCATCAGTCAAGAGTAATGACTTTGGATACAGATCAAGTAAACAGACACCTAAAACAAAGACAGTGCCAACTGAAGGAGATGGAATACAGGTATCAAAATGAACAAAGAAAAAGGAATGAACACCTCAGAAAGCAGGAAGCTTCTAAAGAGAAGGTATCTAAACTACAAAGAGAAACTCCATTGCATGAAGACCAATTGCATGACTATCAGAACAAAGGTGAAAATAAAATAAATGGACTTATTATTGTCCAAACCCAATTTTATGATGTTATAAAAAAACTTCAAGCTCGGAATGACAGATGTCGTCTCATGCTGGAAAACAAATATTTGGAATTAATCAATGAAACTAATCATTTAAAAGATCAACTGGATCAATATGGAAAGGAGAAAGCAGAAGAAGTAAGTATCAAACAAGATATCTGTATAAAGAGTCTTCAAAGGAATACTCAAAGTGATATCTGCTTATGGCTAAATGTTGATTCTTGATGAATATAAAAATGTAGATATTATGAATGTGTTTCTGTATCAACACAGAACTACAACCTGTTGTCCAGCAAAAATAACTTAAACCTCATTTGCAGTACAACCAATCTGTGTTTGAAGTACTAAGTATTCCAATTTCCCTGCTCTGATTCTTACACACTGTGTACATATTTTTAAATAACTATAGGTACTCATGTGTCAACTAAACACAAAAGACTTAGTTAAAATGGATTTTAATATTTAAAAAGGAGGAAATTTTTAAAACTTGGGCCTGACCCTTCAATTTAAGAAATTGTTTCTTATAAAGATTTAAGAGGTTGAGTTAAGATTTTTTTTTGTAGGTTTATATGCTGTCATTAGTAATATGGTCTCAATAATGCTGAAACAATATCTAATTTTGGTGCTATTAATTCAACCCAAAGTTTGCACATGCTAAACACATGTTCTACCAATGAGGTACATCCCATTACTGAATAACAATTTTAATGTCTTCTTGTTGCTATACTTGAAGATCACAATGAAACAAATAATGGAAATGCTCATACCTAGTTTCAAATAAATTAGTTACTTTTACAGTTCATTCCAGATTTTCCAGTTGAACTGAAATGTAGATGCTGTATTTTGTAATAGACTTTCTTCAGTATATTTTTCTATATTTCTTTCTAGTTGGTAAATTTATTTTTAGTCATTTAAGTTTAACATAAATCTGAAAATAACTGTCCTGATATTTTTTGTTTTCATTCATGTCTTGTCCACCTCTTTAAAAGCATCTATTTGTCATTATCATAAATTGGGACTAATGTGATGAATTGCAGCAAAACCACAGTTGATTTCATCTGTAATTTGATGCATATATTCATGATAACTTGCTAATAGTTTTCTTCATTTAATGGCCTAATTCCTATTATATAGTGACTTTCAGTACAAAGATAATTGTAGCCATCTAAAATTCATTAATTTGGCACTGAACCCCCATGTCCAGACTAATGAGGGTGGCAGGGTTTATGTAAAGCAGGAGTGGTGTGAGGACCAGTGAGAAATCTAGGAGATGTGGACAGGCAGTGAGGTGGAGACCAGGTTACCTAGCATCTCCTTTATTCTTTGTGAAAGTATATTGGAATTATTTTAGCAAAGCTTTAAAGATGTGAGGATGTGGGGTATTAATTTGAGTCTCTAATAAGAGAGGGATAATAACCTCTGTAGAATTCACCACTACCAATGAGACCTGTGTAACCATATTTGATTGAGATTTCAGTAGTTTGTTAAACATTGCAACTTTATCAAGGGCAGTATGTAGAGATACAGAGCTCACCCTGTTGTGTAAGGAATGTGATAGTGACTAAGCAGGAGTACACAATCTTCTATTTTCTTAAGGGAATTCAGAAATAAACAGCAGCTTACTGCTGTATGTAGTGATATTTTTTCAGAGTAAAAATCATTATATAATAATAATAACAACAACAACAATAGTAATAATAATAACAATAATAATAATAATAAATTTTTAAAGTGAACTGAGTAACAAAATCATTAACAGAAATATCAGGTAGTTGTGAGACATCTTGAAAAACAGCCAGCTGGTACCCTGAAACTACAACATGTATCAGAGGCTTCTCTAGAAGATTTAGCACATTTTCACATAAATTTAAAATATAAAGACAGGATTTAATGAAGAAACTAAGACAAATGACAAGTATGTAGAAAATTGAACATGTCATCTGTAAATCAACACCTGCTTAAGTAATAAAAGTTATTCTGGGATACTAATTTCAATGAACAGCTTTCTTTATATTTTCATTATAATTGATTTTCTTATATTTGAGGATCTTTATACTGCACTTATTTCTTACACTTAAAATTTTCTTTTAGAATTTTTCTCTTACAAAATCAGCATCTTTCATTAAAATATCTAGTCTGATGAAAGCTGAGACTTTTTTCTGTAACCCAGCAGCTTTTCATGCTGTCTCTACTTCCATGGTACAACAAGGAAAACTAAACTAGAGGTACTATTTAATAGAATGCTTCAGGAAAATTTGTTATTTTTACTTCATTTTTGTGCATCTATTCAAAATCTGCAAGTAATTACTAAATTGACTTTAAAAATGTGTACAAAATTTTTATGCTTTTCTCAAAATACAGATATGTTTTAGGTTTTAGTTTAATTATTGAAAAACTTAGGCTATTTCTTTTATTTTCATTTATTTTAGATACATTATGAAGCATATAAATATTTGTATTATGTCTGGACTGATATCCAAACTAGACAATGAAAAATGTTAGCTAAGTTTTTTACAGTACATCTCTTAAGTCATTTTTTATGATATATGTAATGCACCTGACGTCGAATTCGCCCATATAACATGTAAAATACAGTGTCTCTTAGTACATTAAAAGAGTTATGTAACCATTTACACAGTAAATTTTAGAACATTTTCATGTTCTTGAAAAGAAACCTGGAACCTCTTAGCTGTCAGTTTTCTAATCCCTACACGTCCAAAGTCCTAGAAAACTACCAGTATATTATTTTAGTAATTTACAAATGTAAACAATAGGACTTTTAATTTATTTATTTATTTATTTATTTTTTAACTTTAGGCAAGACTCTATTTTATTTTTATGTGATTTTTAAATTTGTTTTAATTAGTTACACATGATGATAAAATGACCTTGACATATCATACATTTGAATCACATGGGATAAAATATCTCATTTTTCTGAGTATACAGGTTGCAGAATCACATTGGCCATGCATTCACATATATACACATGGTAATAATAATGTCCGTTTTACTCTACTATCCTTCCTATCTCCCCAGCCTTCCCCTCCCTTCCCATCACTTCTCTCTAATTAATCTAAGGTAACTCTATTATTTTTTTTCTCACATCTTCATACATGTATTTTGTATAACAGTGAAGGTCTCCTTCCACCATCCATGCAATTCCCTTTCTCCCTCCTTTTCCCTCCCACCCCTCTTCTCTGTGTAGAGGTAATCTTCTTCCCATGCTCTTCCTCTCTTCCCCATTTTGAGTCACCCCCCTTATATCAGAGAAGACACTGGGCATTTGTTTTTCTGGGGATTGGCTAACTTCACTTAGCATAATCTGCTCTAATGCCATTCATTTCCCTGCAATTGCCATGGTCTTATTATTTTTAGTGCTGAGTAATATTCCATTGAGTATATATTCCACATTTTTATCCATTCATCCATTGAAGGGCATCTAGGTTGGCTCCACAGTCTAGCTATTGTGAATTGTGCTGCGATAAACATTGATGTGGCTATGTCCCTGTAGTATGCTGTTTCTTTATTGTTCTTTTTAGATATATATGACAGTAGACTGTATTTGAATATTTACATTCATAGATTATAACTTCACATTTTTATATTTGTACATAATGTGGAGTTACACTGGTCATGTATTCACATGTGAATATACGAAAGTTGTTTCAGATTTATTCTACTGTCTTTCTGTTTCCATTTTCATTTTCATTCCTTTTGTCTTAATTCAATGAACTTCTATTCTTTTTTCCCACATTCCTTACTGTGTGTTAGCATTCACTTATGAAAGAGAACTTCCAGCCTTTGGATTTGGAGGATTGGCTTATTTCACTTAGGATGATAATCTCCAGTTCCATCCATTTACTGGCAAATGCCATAATTTCATTCTTTCTCACAGCTTATTAATATTCCATCCTATGTACATGACACATTTTTTAATCTGTTCATCTATTGAAGGGTACCTTGGTTGGTTTCATAGCTTCAATATTGTGATTTGAGCCACTTTAGACATTGTTGTGGCTGTGTCACTGTAGTTTGATGATTTTAAGGATTTTGTGTGTAAATCAAGGAGTGGGATAAGTGGGTCAAATGGCGGTTACATTCCAAAATTTCTGAGGACTCTCCATACCGCTTTCCAGAGTGATTGCACCAATTTGCAGTCCCATCAGCAATTGTGTAAGTGAACATTTTCCCCACACTGTCACCAACATTTATCATTATTTTATTCTTTTCAGTTGGCCATTCTGACCTGAGTGAGATGGAATATCAGTGTGGCATTTGCATTTCTCTAATTGCTAGAGATGTTGAATTTTTTTTTTTTTCATATATTTTCTGACCATTTGCATATGTTCTTCTGGGAAGTGCCTTTTCAGTTCCTTTGCCCATTTATTGATTGCATTATTGGTTGGTGTTCTTTTGGTGTTAAAAAAATTGAATTATTTGTACATCCTGGTGATTAATGTTCTATCTGAGGTGCACATGGCAAAGATTTTCTCACATTTTGAATGCTCTCTGTTCATAATTCTTGATGGTTTCCTTTGCTGTGAAAAAGTTTTTTAGTTTGATACCAACCCATTTATTGATCCTTTAAAAAAATTAGTTGTGTATAGACCACAATATCTTTATTTTTATGTGGTTGTGAGGATCAAACCCAATTCCTCACACATGGAAGGCAAGCACTCTACCACTGAGCTACAGCCCCAGCCCCAGCCCCATATTGATGCTTTTAAAAAATATTTTTATTTGTAGATGGACACATTATCTTTATTCATTCATGTGTGGTGCTGAGGATCAAACCAAGAGCTGCACACATGCTAAGCAAGCACTCTACCACTGAACTACCAGCCACCATTTGCTGATTCTTGATATTAACTTTTGCTTTTTGGAAATCTTCTTTGGAAGTTGGCTTATAGTTCTAACTCTAAAATTACTCTGTAATGAATATTTCATACAAGTGAATTTATACAACAGTAGGTCTTTTCTTTTGTACCAGTTTCATTGACTTAGAATACTTTTTTCAGGGATCCTCTGCATTATAGTAAGCATCACTATTTTATTTCTTTCTGTTGTCTAGTAGAATTTTGTTTTATGACTATGTCACTTAGCCAGTTATTAGTTGCTAAACCATAAAATGCTTCCACCTCTTGACAACTCCAGTACTACATGGCTGGGGGCATCTATTTACAAGTTAATATTTGGACATGCTTTTATTACCCTGCCTCTTTGTGGTCTTCATGAATTGTGCCGATTGTACCATATCTCTGTCTTATTCATGCTGTACTTTCTGACTTGTCTATTTTTATTCACTTGATCATGTTTATTCAGAGATCACATAAAATTTTTATTTTTCATGCACTTTCTCTGACTTTTCTGTCACCAACAGTGTTTGCATAGTGATTATCTTGTTGAGATATAAATTCTCCCAAAGTGAGAGTAATATCTGATATCCACACCTATTCTAGAATGAATGGAAAACATTAATGCCTAATAGTTGTTTTAACAAAATTACTATTTGATATCAATCAATATTTTTGTTAGTAGATTGGCCTGTTAAGACTTTTATTCTAACTATATTTCAGTGACAAAATATAAAATTAAATTCACTTAATCCAATAGTAAATTCAGTATGGGAAAAATCATCTTCTATATAGATTTCCTCAACATTTATTATGTAGCCAGAATTGGGATTTATAAATGTGTAATCCTTACCAACTGAAAAGCTAATATACCTTATTATAGAAACTTAATCTGCTCTTCATAATGCTGGTATAGATTATGTTTTGTTGCAATTGAATTTATGTAAAATTTGTTGTTTGAGTTTGTGTCGAATATTTTCAGTATCTTATTTTCATATTGTGTTTTTTCATACTTCTTTTATTCATGCAGATGGATGATCTTACTCCAAAGACGAACAATGCATCTTCAAAGCATTTACGTTTGAGAACAAACTATGAATGTTTTATGCAGAACTTGTTTTTTTATAAAAAGTATACAAGATACATTTGAAAAAATAGAAAGGAATCAAAAGAAGTTGGAAGAAAATGTAATAAACTTTCCAAGGCACACACGGAGCACTCGAGTAGAACGAGGCCAAGGAGTACGGTGGGAATGTGACATTGAACATCAAGCAAGATGGGATTTAGAGGAGAAGCAAAAACAAGTATTTATGATTTTACAGGCTATCTTACTTATCTGCAATTTGCTTTAATTCATTTCATTGTAAACTGAATTTTGGATATATGCATTATAGGTGTTTTCTATATCTCTTGAGGAAAGATGTTGTGTAGATTTCTAAGAGAAGGAAGACATTTGATGCCCCTTCAAATACCTCAATTTACATCATTCTTTCAGCTAATTTGATCTGAGTAATAATTTTCATCAGATAACTGTTGGATATTTGATAATAGTGGGTATAAGTAAGACTGTAAGGAGAAAAAAATGTGATGCAGAAATATAACATACTTTTGAATTGTTAAGTTAAAGTTTTCAACTTTCATATTTTGAATTGATTCTATTATTCTTTAAATTGTCGGATGATCTGAGTGCTAACATGAGAATGATTCATTACTGTGAGCACAGATCAATGGCAGATAGCCTAGCCTGTGCAACACTCTGGGTTCCATTCGCAGTAGAAAGGAGGAGGAGGAGGGCAAGGAATGAAGAGGGAAAGGGGGAGAGGAAGAACTCAATTATTATTGGTTCCGATTTAATGTAATTGATACTGATGACAGAAGTTTACAGTCTAATATTTTTTTCTTCACATTTAAAATTGCTGTCTGAATTTTTGACTCAGAACTAAATAAAATAACTACATAATAATTATTTGGGTTCTAGTTATTTTTAAAATATATTCTCTTTATTTTCTTTAGACACAAGGAGCAGCTCCGGAAATTACACACCAGTTCAGAAAGACTGATTTTACTTCAATAAGAAGTCAGATGGAACTCAGAATTAGCCATCTGGAAACTGAACTGAAAATTCTAAGAAATTCAACTGAAAGAATATAGGCACTTCCATATAGAACAATCCAAATTCCACAAGTATGTCAAAACCTAGACTGAAAGAGAGCAACTTAGTCTCCTTAGTTTGTGTCTACTGCATAACTTTGAGACAGGATGATGAGATCGGTAGCATGCAAAAGCTAACTAGACCCTATAATTTGTGGAAGTAATGTTAGGAAATGAATGTACTCTTGAAATATTAATCTAGGAAGTTTATCTTTCACCCACCTTTGCATTTTACATCTGAAGGTAAACTATCAAGCTTTCTTCCCTTAGTGTTCTCCTATATATAATCTGGTCTATTAGACTTTTAGTTAAGTATTTTTGAAGTTTTGTGATTCACATAGTTATATTGTGACAAAACTGCTTCTACATGGAAACATGAACAAGTTTCACGATTTTTGAAAGATTATAACTGAAACCTTAAGTGTCCAGTGTTGCTATACCTACACTCTGAGCACATACTGACACCTGACAGATTAACTGATTTTTAATTTTTAAATATTATCCTTACATGGTATCTAGAGACAAAATGTTCTATATAGTTTTTCCTTTCTACCTTGTAATACTTGTGATGATGGGAAGTATAACCTGCAAAGTGGTTAAAAATCTTCTGATTATCAGTGTTGGGGCCTGTGAATGTCAGAATGAACGGGCAGTCTCCTGAAGCCCTGGTAACAAATTCATGGGCCAACTTTCTAGGCAGCAGCTTTAATCTATCTTGATCACCCACTCAGCTATCTTGTTCTGAACCAGTGGCTGTTGCTCTGAATTGTCTCAGTGTCAAATGCTTAATTTATCTAGGTAATAGGTAGAATATACATATGATGGTAATAAATGCTTGACAGTATCTTCAAGGAACATTCTTTAAGTCCTTGAACTGGTTCACTAAATATGAATGTTTCTAGCTTTACTAAAATTTTCTAGTTGCATATGTTTAAGGAAACCATGATGATTTAATATACTTTGACATAGTAAAATGGCTTTGGTAGTCAAATAAACTAAGATGTACATCATCTATATTTATATTTATATTTTAAAGAAATATCAATATTTCTAATGGCATCCTCAAGAATCTTCCAAGGAGAGTCTTTCAAGAAGGCCAGCATGGTTACTTGCAAAGTCATACATTGCTGATTTCTGTCTCTCTTCCACCAACATTGCTTTAATTGGAAGTTTGAAGCCCCCTAGAAATATGTACACTTCTTTAGAGAAATTACAAACCCATAATTGCATACACTGTTTCTGTTCTGATTCTTTTCAGTGTTGTGCCCACATATGGAGAATTTCTACCTACTCTCTTTTAAAATATTTTTTTTAGTTATAGATGAACAATACTTTTATTTTCTTTATTTTATGTGGTGCTGAGGATTGAACCCAGTGCCTCACATGTGTACGCAAGTACTCTACCACCGAGCAACAATCCCTCTACTTACTCTTATGGAAAATTTAAATTATTCTTTTATTTGATGAATTTTTTTTAAATTTTTTATTGTTGGTTGTTCAAAACATTACATAGTTCTTGATATATCATATTTCACACTTTGATTCAAGTGGGTTATGAACTCCCATTTTTACCCCATATACAGATTGCAGAATCACATCGGTTACACATCCATTGATTTACATATTGCCATACTAGTGTCTGTTGTATTCTGCTGCCTTTCCTATCCTCTACTATCCCCCCTCCCCTCCCCTCCCCTCTTCTCTCTCTACACCCTCTACTATCATTCATTTCTCCCCCTTGTATTATTTTTCCCTTTCCCCTCACTTCCTCTTGTATGTACTTTTGTATAACCCTGAGGGTCTCCTTCCATTTCCATGCAATTTCCCTTCTCTCTCCCTTTCCCTCCCACCTCTCATCCCTGTTTAATGTTAATCTTCTTCTCATGCTCTTCGTCCCTACTCTGTTCTTAGTTACTCTCCTTATATCAAAGAAGATATTTGGCATTTGTTTTTTAGGATTTGATGAAAATTTTGAAAGTGCATTTAGAAATAAATAATATTGAGGTTAATTTTGAAATAATTAAACAAGCATGAAATATAATGTGCTCTCATTCAGTGACCAGTACTTCCACTTTATCTCCCCTTCTTCCTCCCTGTGTTCTCTTTCTTCTGCTCTACTGATCTTATACTTATTTGTAGTTTTTAAGGTTTTTTTTTTTTAAATTATGCATTATGAATACACATGAAGGTGAAATTCACTGTGATATTTTCATATGGATTCACAAAAAAATTTGATCAGATTCATTTCACTATTCCACACTGAGTGCTGTCCCCAACTACCTGGCTTGGGTTGGGTTAGGGTTAGGGTTAGGTTAGGGTTAGAGTTGCATTGTGTAACAGGAGCCCTTTGGTACAACCAGGTGATTTCCTTCATACTAAGACTTCATTTGATGTCAAATATTAGTCCAACAATGATGAACTATATTTTAAGAGCTGATAAGAAAACCAATGTCCAGCTATTTTGAACCCATTTGAAGATATTTCTATAATATTTGACATTTTTATCAGGGGTATTATTACAATAATGAAATATCTGCTTGAAAATGAACAAATAAAAGATACCATCTTGCTTTCATTGCACCTTGGTTTAGAGCTTCCATGGTGGTTTTTTTTTTGTTTTTTTTTTTGGTTGTTTGTTTCTTTGTTCCAGGGAATGTACTCAGGAACACTTGACCACTGAGCCACATCCCCAAACTTATTCATGTTTTATTTAGAGACAGAGTCTCAGTGAGTTGCTTAGGCCTCACGGTTGCTGAGGCTAGCTTTGAACTCAAGACTGTCCTGTCTCAGCCTCTTAAGCCACTGTGATTACAGGCATGTGCTATCACACCCTGCTTCAATGGTGTTTTGATGAACTTCTTAACATATAGTAAAGCCATGCATATCTATGTTAAATGTGGCCTCAACCTTATTCTTTTATTTGGCATTTTTACCTAAAAAATCACAGGAGAACAAATCTAAGCTTTATAAAACAATGCTGAAGTTAAATAGTTATGACAGAAAGAAATAATTTTAATACATAAATTACAATTTAATTTAATAGCTAATATATGTTTTTTTCAGTTTCTTAGCTTACATGAATATCTTTCTGAAAAAATGAGAGAATCGGGTTTGAAGTGCTTCAGAGTCATGAAATTGGATGACTATTTAGAAAAAGAGAATGAAAGTTAATTATTATTCATGATGCAAGTATAAGTTGTTCTTATTAGTTCTTACCAGAAAAAAATGAGATAATTTACCATTTACAAAACAATGATAAATTGTGTATGAATGTAGACACAATGCAAAGGGGATTTGGGAGGCAACTCTTTTTCCAGTGTATTTCTGGGAGAAAGTGATGTTTCTTTTTTACTTATGCATAAGCTAGTTTATTTAAAACTTAATGTAATAGTTCTACATTTCCTTGTGGAACATTAGTTTGCCATATCATGCTAGCCTGAATAGAAGAGTGTTTTTTAAACTCTTTCATCACGATACAAAGATATGTCTCCGTAATCACTGCAGAATGCCTTCAAAGGTGAAGGGAGAAGGCGAGGAAAAAACTACTAGAGAGGAAGAGTGATCAAATTATTTTATGTGCATCTGTGAATATGTCATAATTAATTCATCTATTATATATAGTCAAATGCACCAGTAAAAAAATTTTGTTTAAAATAATTTTCTTTAAAAAAGAACATAAAGACAGGAATGGGAATTTTGTCAGTCAAAATCATTTGTTTTCACATCAAATGTGTAAAGGCATTAGACACCACCTTATTGTTATCACTACAACATACTTACTATGTTCAGTAATATATTTTAGACCCTATTTGGGGAATTAGTAAGAGAAGAGTTTTATACAAAGAATACTCTACATGGTGATATTTATATAAGAGTTGGAAGAATTTACCACATATCTCATCAAGTGCACATCTATAATGAGCTAAATGTTTAAAAACTGCTGGGCATAACTTCTGAAATCAATTACAATTAAAGAGCTATGTATTTTTTTCCAATTTTGAATATCAACAAATTAAAACCTTAGTGTGAAACTGCTTTTTCCCCACTTCTGCCCCACTATGAAACTGTCAGCCTATACACTGACATGCTTTTATGGGAAAAATGGCATCACCCATTTTCTGTGGTTTATGGCCAAAAGCCCAGACTGACTTAGTAACAGTTACACATTTAAAATACCCTGTCATGACTCTGTCATTAGTTTACATTTGCCTCAAGAAAAGTATGAAATTTCTTAGCCAAAAATTAAAATATCCAAATCAACTGGATTTTTGTCAGGTTACTCAGCCTATCTCATCTCACTTGCTTTACTGCCACTTTGCTCTAGATTCTAGTGACACTAGACCACTGTGATTCCACAAGTTTTCTTTCTCATCTCCATGTCTGCATGCACCTCTTCCCTTTCTCTCACAATTTCTCCTTTTACTTCAGGTGTTAACTCATGTATCACTTCCATTTAAGGACCTCAAACACTGACACAAATTTGGGACAGAAGTCCCTTTTAAGTGTTCCAGTAGTATCATGTTTTATCCTTGTCCTAATGCCAATGACTCTGTATGGAAATTGCTTGATTTTCTGCTTTTGAAGCTATAGTATATGACTGTTGAGAGGTGTCCATTATCATCTCCATGTTGTCATCCCAGTTCTTGCCAGAATACCCTAGCATATGGTTGTCAAATTTATGCATAAGGGGTGGAAAACCCAAAGCTCTGATACTCAGTCATAATGACAACTGTGTATGAAAATATAGGTGTACTGCATTCCATAGTGATTTTGTATCGTGGACATATCTTTTTTTCTTCTTATAAACAATGAAAAGTTCTAAACTTCTTCACTGATTTATACTTATAAAATGTTTGAGAAAAAAATATAATTCTTTTTTTCTTCACTTGCTGCAGAATTTGAATCCTGACCATGGGAGCATCTGCCTTAAGAATTACTAATAAGACAAGACAAGATCTACTTTTGGAAACATCATAAGGATATACAGAGATTTTAAGAAAAAAATATGAAAGCTAATATTGTGTTTTTCAGACTGTTAATATAATATTTAAATTATTTATGAAATGTATGATGTAAATAATTTATTGAAATGGATGTGTGTAACATATATATGATGAAATTATCAAAATATGAAAATTATATCTGTAAGAAAATTTGAAGTGAAAGTGCAAACCAGTTTTTATTGAGATGTGTTTTCAGACTATCTAAATGTTAGCATTTAAGTTCAATTCAGCAACCAAGTCAACACTAATTTGGTAGATCTAAATATCACATTAATGATGGATTATTTATATTATATCACTGAATATGGGTCCAGAGAATTAGGCAACATTATTTTTACATGCTGGTTACTATATTCACTAATGGATTAATGTATTGCAATTATTATACTGCCATCTTTAAATTTATATTTGAGGCACTGACTTAATAATTTTTCTAATAAGAATATTTGCTTAGTGTTTTATCTTTTTTCCCCTTTTCTATTTGTTTATACAATCTTGGGAAATAATAGTAAATTTACAGGTTCTGATATAAAGTACTTTTGTCTGCTGAAGCATTTTAAATTGAATTGCTTACATATGCTATCATTTATGATATTTTTAGTATTTTGTACAAGTCAGAACATGCTAGATAACTACAATTCAGCATTCATTTATTATGAATATATTTTTCAAATATTAACAGGTAACAGCATAGTTGTTAATTATATCAGTTTCTTTATGAAGGTTATATTGTTATCTAGCATGTTCTGACTTGTAGGAAATGCTAAACCTATCAAGAAAGGTGGCATATGTTAACAATTCATTTTAAAATGCTTCAGTGGGAAAAAGTACTTTGCATTAGAACCTGCAACTTCACTAGTATTTTCCAAGATTGTATAAAGAAAAAAAGCAAAAAAAAAAAAAAAACACACACACACACATTAAGCAAATTCTGTTTCTCAAATCAACACTTGTACATTCTATCATAATGCCTTGGACCACTTAATCCTCAGATTATTTTCATGTTTTTCTAGTAGCCTAACATTGTTCTTTATAAAAAAAAATATTTCATTCAGAGGCATGAAATGAATTTAATTGTTTTATTTTATAGATGCCTTCTGATTGAAATATTCCTTAGTCTTTTCTTAACCTTCATGACCTTGAATTTTTCAGGGGGAAAGCTTGTAGAATGTGCTTAAAATGGATTCTCTGGTTTCTTTATGATTGGAGCTAGATTACATGTTTTTGGCAAGAGTACCACAGAAATCAATTCTATGATTTTCACTTTGAATCACATAATGTGACCTATAATATCCTCATTACTGCTGATGTTAATATTGGTCATTAATGTGGTATTTGCAGAATTTTACTTTGTAATTATTATTTGTGTGAAGATAGTTTGAGACTATAAATATTAATATAAATATAAAAGTGTATCATTCACCACTAAATTTGTTCATTTATTATACCTATACAGATTCATGGTTTATTTTATTGTGTTTGCTGTTACTTGTTAATATTTTAAAAATTTATTTTTCTTTCAGAAATGTTCTATTTTGATAATCTCAGATTTATAGAAGATTTAAGACAGTAGTGAAAGGAATTCATAAGAAGCATTCCCCAAATGTTATTCTTCATTTCCAGATAAGTCTAGGTACATAACAGTTTTTATCTCTGAACCATTTGCAAGATGCACACAATGTCTTTTTATTTGTAAATAAAAAAAACCTCACATTTTCTAAAAATGAGATATTATCTCTGTAACTATGGTGCAATGATCAAAATAAGTAAATTATATTGTGAATATCTACTCTACAAATCTTATTCAAAATTTGACAGTTATTTTAACAATTGTCTTTGAACCAAAATAAATCCAATTTTGGGAAATTTTAATATCAATTATTCACTGTGTCCAGTGGTCTTGTTTCTTCTGTGGGTTTTTTTTTTTTTTTTTTTTTTTTTTTTAATCTGGGATGGTTCCTGAGCATTTCTGGGCTATTCATGATATCTTTGATTTTAATTTTTGAATGGTGTATTTCAGTAGTAGTTCTATAGATTTTTCTTCAGTTGTGATAATTAGATTTTAATTTTCATAACCAGTGGATAAATGCTCAAATATTTGACTCTCAAATTAACCTGAATGCTGCTGGTAGATTGCACATAGGGATCCCTGTTCCACCAATATGTCAATATATTTGGTGATATTAAAATTAATACCAATGGAATTTGCAAAATATTTCTTTAGAGGAGCACATCATGAAGACTTTAGGCTTTGTGGACCAGAAGTTCTCTGTGGTCATAGCCTAAAATCTGCAATATACAATAATTGAATGCCTGATGGAATTCCAATAAAACTATATTTTCAGGGTAAGGGGGTGAGGCTCAGTGGTAGAGTACGTGTATAGCACATATGAAGCCTGAGGACAAATCTCAGCGTGGCAAAAGAAAACAACAACAGAAACACTTTATTTGCCAAAACAAGCTACATTCTGTTTTTAGTCTTGATTTGTTGATCCAATGTTCCTCTAATGCTGTGAAACTTCAGTGGTGACCTGCATGTATGTTTTTACTTTTGTATGCACAACACACTTCATATGCACCACATCATTCTTCTACAGACGTTCTGTACAATTCAGTTTATGAAATAAGAATATTTTCTGAATTTGCCCTCAGGTTTTGTTATTGAATTCACCATTTCAATATTAATAAGTACTTTGCATATCTGCCCTTGAAACTTATTCTGTTATCTTTTAAAAAATATTATTATTTATTGTTGATAGGCCTTTATTTTATTTATTTATTTATATGTGGTGCTGAGTATCAACAACAGTGCCTCAACCATGCTAGAAAAATTATCTAACACTGAAAAACAACCCCAGCCCTGTTTTATCATTAAAATAAGAAAATTAATACTCAGTTTATCTAATAAATCAGGAAGAAATTTTCAAGGTGACTGTAGATTAAATTTTTATGAATTTATTACATAATACATTTTTTAGCATTTTTGGTGTTACATATGTAATTTTTAAAATGTTCAAAGTTTTACATATGGTCATTATGTAAAGATTGAAAAATACAGTTAAAGAAGAACAAAGATTATTCTCCATTATTCCACTTAGATACAATGTCTTTCAAAAGGGGGGTATGCAAACGCTAAATTAAAATCAGTTTTTAATTATTTGATTGATTGATTGATGATATTCCGATCTAATCCAGATTATGCTCTACCCTAAGCCATATCCCTAGTCTTCCATTCATTTGTGAATCTCACTCTTGTGTTTTTCTCTTCCTGCATAACTCCAAGAATTACTTTTCCCAAAGTTACCATTGAATTTTACTTTTAACACATCTACACTTAATTCCATGCACTTAATTTTACAATTACTCATTCATCAATGGAACATTTCCACTTCGAATAACAAGAACTCCAAAGTGGCTGAAGGGAGTTTAGACTCCACAAAAACAGCTATACAAATGATTTCTCTTTCCCACAACCACACATAAATGTATATAAACAGCCTCAATACCCAGCCAAATAGTTGTAGTAAAACTAATAAGAACTGGAGATAGAGGGCAAAACCAAGAACAGCCTCACTAAATGGTAAAGGAAAACTTTTGCCTTTCTCACAGATCAGCTTTTCCCCTAAATTGACACACTAGTATGATCAGGAGAAACTGCCCAATTCTCAGTTTTCCCCTTTTGGCGTCAGAGGAGGAGAAGGTAGCTCCAATATTCTGGATTTTTAGGGAACTGTTTTCTGTCTACTGTGACACAGACCTGGTGGCATATTGTGATAATTAGTCACATTGAAAAAAGGAAAAACCATTGAACGTCAAAGAACCTACAGTGCAGACACCAGGTGGAAGAAAAGTTTATGTACTTTTGATAGAAATCCACAGCTTTCTTCCTAGAAAGCTAAGTGTCTGGAGAGAGTGTGTCCACAGCAAGGGCGACAAAGCCCTTAAATACTTAACTGGGCTTGCTGGTGAAGATCTTCCCCTATGTGCAGCCACCAGGAGAGAGAAGTTTGAAACTAAAATTCTCAACCAAAGGCAAACTAGTTCAAGGAGCACCCCAAGAAAAGCCACAACACAGAGCCATGCTATCCTGTAAAATCTGTGGGGCCTAGAAAATGAGGTTTCTTAGTGTTTCTGTTAAGAAACAAGATTGTCAAAAACTACAGTTTTAAAAGTATTAAGAAATACTAAACAATGAAAAATGAATGACAATAAATTAAATATTAGGGATAAATCTATCAAATGTATAATTGAAAATACAAATGATCATTAAATTTGTGGTTCTCAATCTCCCTGACCCCCAGTACTGGGGATGGAACCCAGGGGTACTCCACCACTGAGCTGTACACACCATCCTTTTTAAATGACCACTTTTAATTTTGAGACACTAAGTGCCCAGGCTGGCTTCCAACTTAGGATGCTCCGCTTCCTTCCACCTCTACCATGCTGGGATTAAGGGCATGAGGCACTGTGCCAAGCTTCTCAACCTTAAATAAAGGAAAAAAAATAAGGCAAGCGAAACTTTAACACTAGTATTGATAAAGAAAATAACCACAGTCCAGTAAAGATAATTTAACAAACAAAAAGTTCAGGAGATTGACATGTACATTTTTCCAAATGATATTTTTAATTTTTTATTGTTGGCTGTTCAAAACATTACATAGTTCTTGACATATCATATTTCACACTTTGATTCAAGTGGGTTATGAACTCCCATTTTTACCCCATATACAGATTGCAGAATCATATCAGTTACACATCCATTGATTTACATATTGCCATACTAGTGTCTGTTGTATTCTGCTGCCTTTCCTATCCTCTACTATCCCCCCTCCCCTCCCCTCCCTTCCCCTCTTCTCTCTCTACCCCCTCTACTGTCATTCATTTCTCCCCCTTGTACTATTTTCCCCTTTCCCCTCACTTCCTCTTGTATGTAATTTTGTATAACCCTGAGGGTCTCCTTCCATTTCCATGCAATTTCCCTTCTCTTTCCCTTTCCCTCCCACCTCTCATCCCTGTTTAATGTTAATCTTCTTCTCATGCTCTTTGTCCCTACTCTGATCTTAGTTATTCTCCTTATATCAAAGAAGATATTTGGCATTTGTTTTTTTAGGGATTGGCCAGCTTCACTTAGCATAATCTGCTCTAATGCCATCCATTTCCCTGCAAATTCTATGATTTTGTCATTTTTAATGCAGAATAATACTCCATTGTGTATAAATGCCACATTTTTTTTTTTTATCCATTCGTCTGTTGAAGGGCATCTAGGTTGGTTCCACAGTCTTGCTATTGTGAATTGTGCTGCTATTTTCCAAATGATTTTACTTGGGAGGCTGAATCAGAGCACAAATTCAGGGCCAGTTGCAACAATTTAGGAAGGCCCTAAGTAACAATGAGACTCTATGTCAAATTAGTATATGAAAAAGTTTGGGATGAAGTTTGGTGAAAGACTACCACTGAGTTCAATCTCCTATACCATTGAATAAATTAATCAAAATCACAAAAGAATATGGCAGGTAATTAATAGCAATTCACTTGAGAACCAAGAAGAAGGACTATTTTTAAAATAAATTTCAAACAAATAAAAATAACTCAGTAAGTAACAAATATGAATGGATAAATTATATCAGAAAGGGGACTATAAGCTACCATTAGGTGGGCAAGCAGACAGTATAGGTTAATAACTGAGTTCTAGGTAAATTTAAGGATTAGATCATTAGATTCTAAGGTGCTTCAATATGTTCCAGACTGCAGAATTTTATCATGGAAGTCTTGGTGTTTTATTAATATCAAAAAAAAAACATGAATATAAACTCAATGGCATAAAAGTTGTACAAATGAATGGAAATGGAAAAATCTAATTAGAACATCTGTAAAGAGAATCTATAAAACAAGAAAAATACATTCTAAATATAGAAATCCATAAGTTAAAGAGATTATTCTCATGTATAATCAACAGTTTAATGAGGAGTACAGATAAAGGTGCATCTCGGTGAGTACTTCTAATTAAAATAGCAGTGAAAGTGAAAAAGAAATGAGCACCACTTCTGCAAATCAGGAGACAGCACCATTTTTAAATGGCAAAACACTTAATTTTTTCAATTAAAATCTTGAACCTGAGGCATGCCAGCTAATGCTCTTTATATACTTAAATAGAAAATAGAAACATTTAAGCAAAGAAAGAAGATAAATGACATACACAAGAAAGATTAAAAGTTCTTTATTATTAATCTTATAATTTTTCACTTAGAAAACCTGATATATTGTAAAAAATCCTCAATATCTTAAAATCACAATGAGATATGAATAAGAGATAAATCTGGAAAATATTTTTATTTATGTTAGGAATTGGGATGCAATAAATTTCTGTTGCTATTGTCTGAAATCTGTAATAGACAATAAATGAATGAGAGTGGACTCATTCCAAATCTGTTTCTTACTAGAATAGTGGCAGGGTGATTGCCTACTATGAGTGTGCATGAAAGTCCCTGAGGTTGATGCCTAGCAGCTATAAAATAAAACAAAAGAGTCAAAAAGGTGCCTTTATTTACACATATGACCATGCTTTGGATTGGTTTACAGGCATTAATTTGATGATCTTCATGCAATATCCAATTTTCTGCTAATGTAGCAAATCACTTTGAAGTTACTTTATGTACCTCTCTTGCTCCTTTGTAAGCATATCTCAACTTGTGTCACAAAACATTTTTCAAGTGACTATGTAAATTTTTCAAAAATTCAGATTTCTTAATGACATTACTTAAAAATTTTCTCCTCTTTTATTTCTGTTTTTCAATTCAATTGATCCATATGACAATTTGTATATTTGAATAGTACAAAATATTCTGGAATAAGCTAATTTCTGTCTACAAAGAAATATTGTC